CATATCTTGTAGTATTGTTTATCTTCTTGTTCTCTAATTTCAAATGTCAATTTGCTCATTTCAGCACATTCCATTCCATTATTAGGGCTGGTTACTCTTAGTAGCGCATATGCACTGACATTATGATCTTCAGTAGAATCCAAAGACAAATTCTACGATGATCTGGGTGCTACTATCAAGAAAATCCCTGAGAAAGAACCACTGTTTATCCTTGGTGATTTTAATGCCAGAGTTGGAGCTGATTATAGTTCTTGGCCCACTTGTTTAGGTCAGTTCGGCGTTGGGAAGATGAACGAAAATGGCTGCTGGAGTTTTGCTGCTACTATGGTTTTTGCGTTAGCAATACATTCTTTAAAACAAAGTCTCAACACAGAGTCTCTTGGAGACATCCATGATCGAAGCATTGGCACCAACTCGACTTGATTCTTACCAGGCACTCAACCTCCCCAATATTACAATCACACACCGCTATCAGGGTGCTGATTGCGATACAAACCACTCCTTGGTGTGCAGCAGAATAAAACTGCAAACAAAGAGATTGCATCACTCGAAGAAGGAAGGAAGACCATGAATTTTTTTTTTTAATTTGATTTATATGCCGCCCTTCTCCAGAGACTCAGGGCGGCTTACAATGCATTAAGCAATAGCCTTCATCCTTTTGTATATTTATACAAAGTCAGCTCATTGCCCCCACAAACTGGGTCCTCATTTTATCTACCTTTGAAAGGATGGAAGGCTGAGTCAACCTTGAGCCTGGGGAGATTCGAACTTGCAGTAATTGCAGGCAGCTGAATGTTAATAACAGGCTATTAGTCTGCTGCGCCACCAGGCTCCTGGTGGCACAAGACCCGCAATCAGGGCAAAGTGGAGGAATTTGCGCAAGCACTCAAGGAAACTCTCCCAGGCCCGGCTGAAGTAAATGCATCTGAACGATGGGAATATTTCAAGAATGCTGTTTATAACACCGCCTGTCAGTATTTGGTAAAGAGATCAGAAAGACAGCAGATTGGTTTGAAGCCCCTTCGGAGGAGTTGATGCCAGCCATCGAGGAAAAAAGGAGAGCTCTAATTACATATAAAGCCTGTTCCAGTGAGCGCAACCAACAGGTTCTGCGAGCTGCTCATAGCAAAGTCCAACAGACTGCCAGGAGATGTGCTAATGATTATTGGCTTTGCTCTCGGATCCAGATAGCAGCTGACACAGGCAACATCAAGGGGATGTATGATGGCATCAAGCAGGCCTTAGGTCCAACACAGATGGCACGCTGGGTGCAGCACTACTCTGAGTTATATTCCAGAGAAAATGTGATAACTGAAGAAGCATTAAATAATATTGAGTGCCTGCCTGTCTTGGAGGTTCACTTGAGAGTGAACCAACTTTAGAAGAACTAAATGAGGCTCTGGACTCCCTTGCCTCTGGCAAGGCACCTGGGAAAGATAACATCTCTGCTGAAGTTCTGAAGTGCTGCAAAGAGAACATCCCCACTGAACTGCATGAAATCTTCTGTCTTAGTTGGAGGGAAGGTGGAATACCACAGGATATGAAGGATGCAAATATTGTCACACTGTACAAGAACAAAAGTGACAGGGGTGACTGTAACTACCGCGGCATCTCTCTTCTTAGTGTTGTAGGGAAGCTGTTTGCCCATGTCGTACTGAAGAGGCTTCAGGTGCTTGCAGAGAAAGTCTACGCAGAATCACAGTGTGGATTTCGAGCCAACGGGTCAACTACTGACATGGTATTTTCCCTTAGACGGCTGCAGGAGAAATGCAGGGAACAAAGAAAGCCACTTTTCATAGCCTTCATAGATCTTACGAAGGCTTTTGACTGGGTTAGCAGGGACGGCCTTTATAAAATTCTCTAAAATTATAAAAAACTATGCTGACTTCAGTCTGACCTAAGCATAGTACATAAAATTATCTGCCACAATGTACTTCCTGTCAATGACTACTTCAGCTTCAACCACAACAATACACGAGCAAATAATAGATACAAACTCAAGGTAAACCACTCCAAACTCGATTGCAGAAAATATGACTCCGGGAACAGCACTACCTGACTCTGTAGTTTCTTCCCCAAACCCCCAAAACTTTAACTTTAAACTGTCTGCTGTTGACCTCACCCCATTCCTAAGAGGTCTGTAAGGGCCTTGGTAGTACAGTGGTTTAAAGCACCCTGTTATTAAGACCAGCTGCCTGCAATTACTGCAGGTTCGAATCTCGCCAGGCTCAAAGTTGACTCAGCCTTCCATCCTTTCTAAGGTAGGTAAATTGAGGACCCAGTTTGTGGGGGCAATGAGCTGACTTTGTATAAATATACAAAAGGATGAAGGCTATTGCTGAGCACATTGTAAGCCGCCCTGAGTCTCCGGAGAAGGGCGGCATATAAATCAAATTTTTTAAAAAAAGGGGGGGGGCATGCATAAGTGCACCAGCGTGCCTACCGTCCCTGTCCTAATATTGAAGCGGGAAAACCCACTTTCCCAAATGCAGGGGACAAGACCACAAAAGTTGGAGAACACAGGTTTGTTTGCTAGCAAAGGTTCGGAGCATTCACATGTCAGATTCCGAACCCTGGGCTACGCACAAGGTGTACCTTTTATACATTTTGCAATTCTAACCACGCCAGAGGCGTTACGCTTCTGACTCTATTTCCATATATGGATACTATCTTACACAGTCTGTTACTTTCCGTGAACACTTCTGCTAATATGTTTCTTAATATAAGTTTGTTACAGGGATGATATAGAACATAGGACATTAAGCTCATCGGTACATTTAACAAGTTCCTTATTTCTGTTCCTTGTACTTTCCTGAAGTTTGCAACATAACTTCTGCTCCAACGTCAGTACCTCAGAAAACAATATAACACTGTGCATGATACAATACTTAGATTAATATGATTTATAGTATAAGACTCTTCTGTTTCATTCCCCCCTTTGGAGCTCCACCTAAATCCCCTGATTACTGTGGAGTTTCATAAACAGAGAGGTCATCCTCCATTGAGCTAAGTTTCTCATACTCCCACCAAGCCATCGTCTGAGCTGTTGCCTTTTTATCCACGAGTAGAGAGAGACTGTTAGAAATTGTATAAACAAAAAGGGGAAGAATGCAGGGTAAAATTACACATCCTGCAGCTATTAACGCAATCAATGCCACGATAGCTTGTAGGCCCGGCAGTTTAGGGAACCAACCTGAAAAGGCGTCAGCTAAATTAAATCCTTTCCAAGTTTGAACCGGGGTGAGCTACTTTGACCATTTTATCAGTTATTTCCTTAATGACCTTGCCACTTTCATCGGTCTCAATACAGCAATTAGACAAATTAAATTTACCACACACCCCTCCTTCCTTGGCTAGGAGGTAATCTAAGAATAAGCGGTTTTGCATGATATACGTTCGAGACTTCACGCTCTCAGCAACTAATTTGGTGAGGCCTTTCACAGTTTCATTAGTAATTATTTCTACAACAGCCTGTAGCCTAATCAAGCGATTTAACAGGTAGATGGGGATCCGATAGCTGTAGGTGCCATCCTCTGCCCAAGTGGCTGGTCCATACACCTCAATGATTCTCTCTGGTGGCCATTCACCATCCTTCCAATGACCTATTTTAACCTTTTCAATCAAGGAAGTGTCAATGGCTGCCCTCTTGGACCGGAAGTTTCCAACTTCATCATACACTGGTACCCTGGCCGAATTCCGAGGACAGAGGTTTACAGGGACCCAAGGAGTATGTAGGAGGTGACACCTTATAGTGGAATTATATGCCAGTCTCGAGTCCCTTCATGCTCACAGGGGGGAGATTATTGGAAGAGCACTTAGGGAGTTTGGTACTGCTATAAACAAAATGCCTACCCGAGGTTAAGGCCACAAAGCATTCAGTACACAGAGATATCTTGGAGCTCACCACTATACCATATGTTATGGATCCCCTTTGCATACTTGAAGGGGTGTCTGGGCTCCAATATTCCCTATGCATTACCTCTGGGTAATTTACAGTGGGAGTAGGGGCAAGCACTCTTTCCATATTCTGACTATTGAGTGTAGCTTGACACCAGTCTAGGGGTTACTCCCTCATTCCCCCCTACTCCTGAGTCTCTGCCCTCTCCTACAAGGCCTACAATACATATGGCTACACAGATTCTGTCAAGTTGTTTGGTTGTGGGATCGCAATGTCCAGGATAAGTTCCTTTCGTCACCCGTGCGTTGGGTGTTAGCCTCCAGAGTAACACCTGCAGGGGTTTTCTTCACCTCCCCCGTTCGTAGAGGGACAGCTCCCGAGGTGTCACCAGAAGGGGAGAGGTTCCCTCTAGTCCTTTGAAGAGTTAGTTTCCACATAAACTTGGGCTTTTTCTTAAAAGCACAGAGAGGAAAGAAAAGTTGACTCATTCTTCACTCTGTCTAGATGGCCATCACCGACGCTACCAGTTCGCCTGAGTCGGATAAAACTGGCTGAATTTTACCACTGGCTTGGAGGAGTTCAGTGCTCCTGAATATTAGATTGTCTCCGCTTGTCCTCCTTCTAAAGACCCAACAGATCAATTGAAGGAAAGGGGCTGTGCAGAACATTTGGGTCCTCAACTGAATGTTTCTCAAACTTTCATCACTTCAGCCCCACAAAGTCAGAAACAAACAAATAAATAAAAATGAGTTGTTGTTTTTTTTAAAAAAATCTTCTATAGCACATAATCTTGAAGGAATGCAATGATATTCTTTCACAGGTATTTTAAGCCCTGTGAAAGAAGAACAGGTGAGAAAAAATCTCAAGGTAAGTCTTTCTTGATTCTCTTTGCTATAAGATGGAGTAGCAGGCTTTCAAGATTACATTATGATACATTATGAGTTCTTGTTTGTCCCCTGACATGGCCTTCCTCCAAGTGCTGGCAGGAAGAGAGAAGATGGAGTAGCGTTGTTGGAGGAGAAAGGGTTGAGGAGGGTAACCTCCTTCTGGAAACACTCCTGCAGTGTCCCATCTCACCCCCTGCCTTTCTTCTCTTTCCCAGGGAGATGGCACAACTCATACAATGGCTTTGGAAACAGGAATATTGGCTGCCTCCAGGGTTCACCTGGGAGGACATGCAGGAGACAGAGGACATCCGCTATCCCCAACCCTGTCACCTCCTGCTCTGCCTCCCTATCACACTCCTCCTGGTCACCCTCCAGTTCTTCTTTGAAAGGCAAGCTCTTGGCCAGCTGAAACCAAGCAACAATGGACAGAAGGGGACTCAACCATTTAGAGAGAGCTATATAAAAAGATATTGAGATTCTGGAAAGAGTGTAGAGAAGAGCTACAAAGATGATTAGGGGACTGGAGACCAAAACATATAAAGAACAGTTGCTGGAATTGTCTAGCTTAATGAAAAGAAGGACTAGGAGTGGCATATCTCATGGGTTGCCTCCAACGGTTGTAGGAAAGTCTATCTAGCAAAAAGAAGGATTAGGGGTGACATGATAGCAGTCTTCCAATACTTGAGGGGCTGCCACAAAGAAGAGGGAGTCAAGCTGTTCTCCAAAGCATCTGAGGGCAGGACAAGAAGCAATGGGTGGAAACTAATCAAGGAGAGAAGCAACCTAGAACTAAGGAGAAATTTCCTGACAGTTAGAACAATTAATCAGTGGAACAACTTGCCTCCAGAAGTTGTGAATGCTCCAACACTGGAAGTTTTTAAGTAGAGATTGGACAGTCATTTGTCTGAAATAGTAAAGGGTTTCCTGCCTGAGCAGGGGTTGGACTAGAAGACCTCCAAGGTCCCTTCTAACTCTGTTAAAAGTCAAGTCTGTATCCAAAGGTTGAATCATGACAACTGGACCAAAGTTGAACTTTGGTCCAATGATTCAACCTTTGGACACCTCTGGCCTAGATGATTGAGACTTCATTGACATAAAACCCTGTCTCTTCATCCATTTTTAAAATGTTTTATATCATAAAAACGAGAAGAGAACAATTGGTATTATCTAGATTTAATAATACATGAACAGATTACGTTTATGCTAGATAAATATTATATTTTTTCCCCTTTAAATATAATTTTAATCACCAGTACTTTAAAATCATTTTATTCTATTGTAACCATTTTTATTACTGGTTGGTTATATTTCAATTATTTATGTTTGGCAGCCTTGTTTACTTTATGTTGGTTTCATGTAACTCTTCATAAGCGGTGCATGAAACAAGGAAGCCAAAAACTGGTTAAATTTAGTTAGTATTTGTTTGTTTGACTCAAACTGCTGCCTTTTCCCAGGAAGATTGCCATCCCCTTAAGCAAAAAACTGGGTCTACAAGAAAAAGTGAGACGGAAACCTTCTCCATACCCCATCCTGGAAGCTTTTTACAAGAAGTGGAGGAAAAGTCCCCCGAAGGTGAGTTTCTTCCACAGAAAGGTGTTGGGAAGTGTGGCTGCAGATGGCTAAAACTCTGCCCTTGGCTATAATATTACTGATTTTCAAGGGTCTGATAAAGTAGACCTTAAACAGTTGAGCTTAGCCAGTCCTTGATGGGAGACCACAAATGGATCATGTACACAGAATGCAGAGTAACAGAGTTGGAAGGGATCTTGTAGGTCAGGGATGTGAAACTCAAGGCATCCGGCCTGCAGGGTGCTTAAATCTAGGCAGTGGGGCCGACCTGGAAGTAGCAAAGGACCAGCCCGCAGTGCCTCTGGCAGCCAAAACGGGGCACGGGCAGTGGTGGGATTCAGCCAGTTTGCACCACTTCGGGAGAACGGGTTGTGGACTTTCTGAGCAGTTTGGTGAACTGGTTGTTGGAAGAAATCATTAGGGTAGAGAACCGGTTGTTAAATTATTTGAATTCCACCACTGGGCACGGGGCGCCACGTGCGGCCGCGCCATGTCCCGTTTTCAGCCTGGATGACCTCCTGCAGCACTTTGCCAGCCAAAACGGGGCACCGGATGCCGCACGTGCCCCTCTGAAGCCCGTTTTGGCTGGCAGGGTGCTGCAGGAGGTGTCCGTTCCATCTCCCCCCTTCTCCCCCCGGTCAGCCCATGGAGAACTACAATGCTTATCCGGCCCTCGAAGAAATCCAGTTTGACATCCCTGTTGTAGGTCATCTAGTAGTCCAACCCCTGCCTGCCCAAGCAGGAGACTCTATACTGTTTCTGACAAGTCTCTTCTTGAAAGCCTCCAGTGTTGGAGCACCCATAACTTCTAGAGGCAAGCTGGTCCACTGGTTAAATCTCTCCTTGATCAGTTTCCATTCAATGTTTCTTGTCCTGCCTTCGGGTGCTTTGGAGAATAGGTTGACCCCCTCTTCTTTGGCGCAGGCCCTCAGATACTGGAAGACCTCTATCATGTCTCCCCTAATTCTTCTTTTCATTAAACTAGCCATGCCCAGTTCCTGCAACTGCTCTTCATATGTTTTAGCCTCCAATCCCCTAATCCTCTTCGTTGCTCTTCTCAGAGATGATTAGGGGCCTGGAGAATCCAAAGGCTGTAGACCAGAGAGAAAAGTAAAACAAGTAAATAAAATAAAATAAAAACCAACCTCTCAGAAGAAAGTAAGATGGAGTAAGGAATAATTCATGTTGCAAAACCCTGAAATGAAAATTTTAAAAAAAGTGCTTTGCTTTATTTATTTTATTTTATTTTATTTTATTTTTTTTATTTTATTTTATTTTATTTTATTTTATTTTATTTTTTATTTTTATTTTGAATTTGATTTATATGCCACTCTTCTCCAGAGACTCAGGGCGGCTTACAAGGCGTTAAGCAACAGCCTTCATACTTTTGTATATTTTATACAAAGTCAGCTTATTGCCCCCACAATCTGGGTCCTCATTTTACCTACCTTAGAAAGGATGGAAGGCTGAGTCAACCTTGAGCCTCGTGAGATTCGAACTTGCAGTAATTGCAGGCAGCTGGAAGCTAAATACTACTTTTAACAGTAGCATTAGTCTGCTGCGCCACTTATTTTATTTTATTTTATTTTATGTATTATTTTATTTATTTTTATTTTATTTTATTATTTATTTTATTTATTTTTTATTATCTTACCTTATTTTTATTTATTTATGTATTTTAAAAATTTATTGGCTACCCATTCATTTTTGTTTTATTTTTATTATTTTATTTATTTTATATTTTTATTGAAAAACAGTTAAAATGAGCCTTGTTGCTTTCCCCAGCAAAGTGGTTCATAGCCGATGTTCTCAGGGCTTGGATGTCCATCTTCTCTCACCTTGTTCTGCGTTCTGTTTTCCAGGAAGAAGTCAGTAGTTTAGCCAAGCAGTGTGACCTCCAGCCGAGGCAGGTAGAGAGGTGGTTTCGATACCGGCTGAATCAGGACCGGCCCAGCTTGACCAAGAAATTCTGTGAAGTCAGGTGAGTGGAAACTCTCGGGGCAGGGTAGTCAACATGCAGCCCATGGACACCGGAACTTCCCTCAGCACCCAATAGCATCTCTGTCTCATCCAAACCCTCAAGAAGATTGTGAACAATTTAAGAAGGACATTTTGTGATGCAAAGGGAAGTGTCACCTTCCGGCACCTTCCGATACTGAAAGCAATTCCTTTTGGCCCTCCCAACAGACATGTCAGACCTGGAAGCCATCTTTGGCATTGGGCCTTGCCATATTTACTACTGTGGGAAACTGGGAGGGGGGGTTGAATGGAGTACAGGTGGAGTACAGTCATAATAACATTCCTTTCTCAGAGAGTCAAGGACATCTTGCCCTGCACCTGGAGGGTTGGAACTGGGAGGCATCTCCAGTTGGGACGGTGCTTTGATTGAAGCATGTGACGGACATGTGGCTGCTGGGCAGGGACTTGGACTTTCCTTTGGGAAACCTGGAAGCATTCAGATTCCGGTTTTCCCAGATGTGCCAATGTGACATCTCTAATAAAATGGAACTTTGAGGAAACTCAAGCCTCAGAGTTTTCTTTCATTGAGGGTGTTACTTGGAACCCAGACAGGATGGAAGGTCTCATTGGGTTGTTAGAGAGCAAATCGGGTGGGTCTTTGTGATTGGCCATGCCAAGCAGGGCAAGGATTTTTGTAAATGGACAAGCAACTGCTAATAAACACACCAATCATTCCCTCAAAACTCAATACTGTGATTCCCCAACCGAACTAGGGGCCTCACCCTAGTGGATGTGGATGGAGTTTTCACTTGGGAATTCAACAGGATCAAACCTGGTTAATATTTGCAGGGGAAGCAATCCATAGGCTAAACCAGAAATGGGAAAGCATTGGATATGGCCAGTCTAGAGAAAAGAAGGACCAGGGGTGACATGACAGCAGTTGTCCAGTATTTGAGGGGCTGCCACAAAGAAGAAGGGGTCAACGTATTTTCCAAAGCACCAGAAGGCAGGACAAGAAACAGTGGATGGAAACTAATCAAGGAGAGAAGCAACCAGGAATTGAGGAGAAACTTCCTAACAGTGAGGACAACTAACTAGCGGAACAGCTTGCCTTCAGAAGTTGTAGGGGCTTCATCACAGGAGGTTTTTAAGAGAAGTCTGAACAGCCACCTATCTGAAATGGTATAAGCAGTGGCGGGATTCAACCAGTTCGCACCACTTCGGGAGAACCGGTTGTTAACTTTCTGAGCAGTTTGGTGAACAGGTCTTGAGGTTGCTGGAAGAAATCATTAGGGCAGAGAACCGGTTGTTAAATTACTTGAATCCCACCCCTGGGTATAAGGTCTCCTACCTGAGCAGGGGGTTGGACTAGAAGACCTCCAAGGTCCCTTCCAGCTCCATTCTGATTGATTGGTTGATTAATTGATCTCAGAAAGAGCAGTGGTGTCCAAATCAGATAGATAGATAGATACTGTAGATAGATAGATAGATAGATAGATAGATAGATAGATAGATAGATAGATAGATAGATAGATAGATAGATAGATAGATAGATAGGCAGGCAGGCAGGCAGGCAGGCAGGCAGGCAGGCAGGCAGGCAGGCAGGCAGGCAGGCAGGCCCTTCCATGACATCACCAGGAGCTGACTTGACAAAATCTTTATTTTTAGTATTTAAGTTAACAATCACATTCATAGGCGAGAAGAGTTCTATTAGATTGTTCTAGAGATCAGGACAAGGAGTTCAAGTAGAAGAAAAGATAAACTCTGGTGCTTCAGAAGGCAGAAGTGAGGGCTGTTGGAGTAATGGATGTCTTGTAACTATCTGATGGACTAGATGACTCTTCTATTCCCTTTAGGGTGTAGAAGCCCTGAATCCCCTGACCTGCTCTCCAATCATTTTTTTCTAATTGTTTTTCAGCTGGAGAGCCATCTACTTCATTATTTCCGTCTGTGCGGGATGGGCCATCCTTTACAATGTGAGTTGCATCTCTTCCCCACCCCCTTTGGTTACTTCTTGTCTGTTCTGCCCCAGCTACGGACCCCAAAGAACGCAGCACACACAAAGTCTGTTCAAACCTTAGTTTACTAAATAAACCAGTTTTTTACAACAACGGCTGTTAATTAACTGCATTAACAGCCGCCAAGAATTCAAAGAATAATACTGAAAGCTTACTGTGGTTGGCAGAATGCCCAGAAGCAATTTGCAGGAAGCTGATAAGATAAGCAAGACAAGACACGAAGGTATGTGAATGAAGTTGTTCCCTGCAAAGTTGTTCCCTTCTGTTGGCGTTCCTCCTTAAATAGGCTAAGGGAGTTGCCAATTAGCCCCAAGCCTTACTCTCGAGGAGACCTCCTGAGGAGCCACTCCTGTCTTTTGGCAGCTCTGCACGCCCATGCATCAAGAAGAGGCTCCTCCTCTTCGTCCTCTTCACTTATAGGAGCTTCTGGAGGTTTATGGAGGCCCTGGCTGAATCCCTGCCCCTGGCACCACATCTTCTCCAGCCTCCTCATTGGCTGCATCACACCAGCCTCCTCGCTGTCAGAATCAGCCACCAGCTGCACCAGCCGCTGACGAGCCACAACACTGTCAAAAGACATTTTGCTCCGTGTAATTCAGCCGGTGACTCTCGTCTGCCTTCCAGCCTCCTACATTTAATGCTTCCCTTTTTGATTAGAAAAAGCTGGGAGGGTAGAACAGAAAGTGTCCACGTTTCAACCTCTTCCAAATATCTTAGTGATCACAGTTGCTTTGTGGTCTCCTTTCCCTTCCATCGTCCCCTTCAAAGGCAGCTCCAAAGAAGTGTTGGTGAGTTGCTGTGATGTGATTCTTAATGAACAGTTGGTGGGCTGGTGCAATGTGATTCCTAATGAATGGTGTCTTCTTGCAGAAACCCTGGTTCTGGGATTTCCGCGAATGTTGGGTTGGGTACCCCAAACAGGTAAGGAGATGGAAGACATTTGAATGAACATTTCAATGGAAAAATGTCTATGGAGATTCTCAGTCATCTAGGTCATGGTTGACCCAAAGGTGCTTTTTCAAGGAACAACTGGACTTTCTGGTTTTTCTTTGAAGACGTTTCGCTTTGCTTTGAAGCTCCTTGGATGAGAAACGGAACATCTTCAAAGAAAATGTAAAAAAGATGTAAAAAAGATGCTGAGACTCTAGAAAGAGTGCAGAGAAGAGCAACAAAGATGATTAGGGGACTGGAGGCTAAAACATAGGAAGAACGGTTGCAGGAACTGGTTATGTCTAGTTTAATGAAGAGAAGGACTAGGGGAGACATGATAGCAGTGTTCCAATATCTCAGGGGTTGCCACAAAGAAGAGAGAGTCAGGCTATTCTCCAAAGCACCTGAGGGCAGGACAAGAAGCAATGGGTGGAAACTAATCAAGGAGAGAAGCAACTTAGAACTAAGGAGAAATTTCCTGACAGTTAGAACAATTAATAAGTGGAACAACTTGCCTGCAGAAGTTGTGAATGCTCCAACACTGGGAATGTTTAAGAAGATGTTGGATAACCATTTGTCTGAAGTGGTGTAGGGTTTCCTGCCTGGGCAGGGGGGTGGACTAGAAGACCTCCAAGGTCCCTTCCAACTCTGTTATTCTATTCTATTCTATTCTATTCTATTCTATTCTATTCTATTCTATTCTATTCTATTCTATTCTATTCTATTCTATTCTATTCTATAAACCAGAAACTCCAGTTGCCTCTTGAAAAAGCAACTTTGGGTCAATGGAAAAGTGTTCATCAATCAGCATATGAAACTGAAATGCTTCCTGCCTTGCCTTCCCAAACACAATATTTATCCAAGCTTTAGAAATACAATCCTTTCCACTTCTGATGGCTAAAGATCAGCATATCTAAATGAGTGATGAGGAACATTACAGGAGACCAAGTGCAAGCAAACCATCAACACATCCTGGGCAAAACCACAGGAGAGTGTGGTCAAAACAGGCAAGAGATGAACATTAACCACCTGTGAACCTTGAATTCTTTCTAGAAGTTTATATCTATCACTGAATTGCTAAGTTAACACTAACACGTATTCCAAAAAGTTGAATATCACATCTTTCTGCAAATTGGGGTGTCTGCTTATTATTTCTGTGCAGCTGTGTACAATTCGAACTTTAAAAACTAAATTCCTGCTCCTTTTTTCAGAACTCTCCTAGCTGGCAAATATTCTTCAAACTCCTTGCCTGCATTGCCTGTTTAAGGTCCCTCTTCAAATTCTCAGTGTTATTTAGGTTTAGGGACCAAGAAGGCCTTTCAAATCAGGTTCGCCTGATTCGCCAGTTGCGTCCCTTTCTAGATCGGGACTCGTTACGCACAGTCACTCATGCCTCGTCACCTTTCATCTGGACTATTGTAATGCTCTCTACATGGGGCTCCCCTTGAGGTGCACCCGAGGCTCCAACTGGCGCAGAGTGCGGCCACGCGGTGGTAATGGGAGCGACATGGAGCTCCCATGTAACACCTCTCCTGCGCGACCTGCACGGGCTCCCGGTGGTCTTCCGGGTGTGCTTCAAGGTTCTGGTTACCACCTTTAAAGCGCTCCATGGCTTAGGACCTGGTTACTTACGGGACCGCCTACTACCATCAACAGCCTCCCACCGACCAGTACGCTCCCACAGAGAGGGGCTCCTCCAGGTGCCGTTGGCCAAACAATGTCGGCTGTCGGTCCCTAGAGAGCCTTCTCTGTGGGCACCGATGATCTGGAATGAGCTCCCCCAGAGATACGGAGGATTCCGGATCTGCGCACCTTCCGCCGCGAGTTGAAGACACTTTTATTTCATCAAGCTGGCCTCGCCTATATCTTCTCCATTTTAAGTGTAAATTTTAAATTTTTAATGTATTTTAAAATTATGGGTATTTTAAATTATGGATATTAATTCAGCCAAATTTATTTAATTCATTTTATTCGATTTTAAATTTTGTATATCTATGTGTTTTATTTCATGGCTGTGCACCGCCCTGAGTCCTTCGGGAGTAGGGCGGTATAGAAATTCAATAAAATAAAATAAATAAATAAATAAATCCCTTCCCCGACATCTTGCTCAAAGTTCTAGTTATATAGAACGCAGTGGGGGAGGGGGGAAATGTCTGGACTATCGTCTTGCTGAACTGTCTCTTTTCAGCTTCAAATGCTTCACTGGCTTTTCGGGCCATTCAGGCTCAAATGTGGGCCAGCTGGTCTTCACGTGCGCCGGAGCACTGGAAACCCAAAGACCAGCTGGCTGGTGCATGCGTGCCTGTTTTTTGGCTGGTTTTTGGGCCATTTTTGGTTGTTTTTCAGGTCTTTTTCTGGTGCTCCGGCGCCCGCGATGACCAGCTGGCTGGCATGCATGTGAGTGCCAGAAACCAGAAGAGCAGCTGGTGATGGTGCACGTGCCCAGAGAGAGGGCTCTGCCTGCCACCTCTGGCACGTATGCCATAGGTTCGCCATCACGGCTATATGATATCTCAGTGATGGCTAACCTAAAGGGAGGAGTGTGGGGGGATCGCATGCGTGCATGCCCACACCCCTAATTCAATGCCCCCCACGCATACACACACGACCACCCCGTGCTCTCCCTGTTTTCATCACGCGATGGCACAGTGGACCCGGAAGGCCTTTTTTTTGCTCTCCCCAGGCTCCAGAGGCTTTCTAGGAGCCTGGGGAGGGTGAAAACAGCCTTCCCCACCCACCTGGAGGCCCTCCAGAGGCCGGAAACAACCCATTTCCCGACTTCCGATGGGCCTGGAAGGCCCAAAAATCAGCTGGCCGGCTTGCGCATACACGCTGGGGCTGAGCTAGGGCAACACTCGCGTACCCACATATATGGCTCCGCGTGCCACCTGTGGCACGTGTGCCATAGGTTCGCCATCACAGGGATATATAAATATTTCGTTGAAATTCTTCCTTCTACCCGTACAATATTTCCCGGTCCATAGGTCGCATTTCCCCTCAGCCTTAAGAGAGCCTCCATTGATCTTGATGGCCAACAATGGGTTCTCTTTTCCTTCAAAGGTTTAGAAAGTTTTAGGCATATTGAAGTTTTCCTTAGCTTATAAGAGAGCAAGGAGAAAGACTTCCTTTCTGTGCAATTGCTTGAGTAATACGAATTCTACTTCATTATAGGGCTACTTTAACAGAATATTGCAAGTGTGAAAGTATAAATATCTCACAGCTACTTTTAACTGTTTGATCGAGAAAGGAAGGTCCTTCCTAGGTTTCTTTCTCTGAATGCAAGGACACTGGGGTCTCTTTTCTCTCTGATTGTTTCCAAGGCAATATCTCTTTCCTTAGATACAGAAAAACAGAGTTGGAAGGGAACTTCTGAAGGCAAGCTGTTCCACTGGTTAATTGTTGTCACTGTCAGGAAATTTCTCCTTAGTTCTAGGTTGCTTCTCTCCCTGATTAGTTTCCATCTATTGCTTCTTGTCTTGCCTACTTCTTTTCCTCATCACATATTCCATTGTTGAGTTTGAGAAACACCACTTTAGGACTTTATTTTTGTTTTGGAAATTGAGAGCTGACATGACACCATTTCTCTTGCTTCCACCTTTCTCCTTTTGCATTATAGCCTCTCCAGCTGAGCATTTTCAGCTACTTCCTCATTCAGTTGTCCTTCTACTGGTCCTTGCTTATCATGTTGCCTTTTGACGTCAAACAGAAGGTAAGTGGTCTCTGGCAGAAGAGATATGTTCCAGCTGGTTAGGAAGCCCCATTCAGATTCAAGGAGGGAGACAATTTCTCCTTTTGGTATATCACCAGCATGCCTTTCACTCAGCTTATGTGGTTGCCCATCTCACCAATGTGACTCAGGTGGTTGATTTTAAAACTGCACAATCAATCAAACGAAGAAAAAAAGTAAAAGACAGGCAATTCTTGTGATCATAACCTTCAACTAGGTGAAATGGTATATCATATGGCAACAATATTTTGCCAGGAGCCACGGTGGCCCAGTGGTTAGAGTGTAGCACTGCAGGCTATTTCTGCTGACTGCCGGATGACTGCAATTTGGCAGTTCAAATCTCACCAGGCTCCTGGTTGACTCAGCCTTCCATCCTTCCGAGGTGGGTAAAATGAGGACCCAGATTGTTGGGGGCAATAGGCTGACTCTGTAAACCACTTAGAGAGGGTTGTAAAGCACTGTAAAGCGGTATATAAGTCTAAGTGCTATTGCTACTACTATTTGAGGCAGGGAACCTCAGACGGGCCAACAAACAGAATACATCTAAAATCAAAGGAGTAAGGACTTCTGAGGAAATGAAATTTGGGGAGGTTGTGGCTCTTCAATGCTCTGGGCTGCTACTGCAATTATACAGCCTTTATTTTCAGTGATCTGTGACAGTTTCCCAGCCACTCTAACAATCCTTTGATCCCTTCTCTTATTCAGTAGCAGTCATTTAACTGCCTGCTGGAAAAGATAGGAAGGAGGAAGAAGGTAGGTAGCTAGGTAGGGAAGTAAGTAAGTAAGTAAGTAAGTAAGTAAGTAAGTAAGTAAGTAAGTAAGTAACTCCAATGCTTCCTGCCAGCTTCCCCAAGGTAAGAAATATCTCTGAAACAATGATTTTGAAGGGCACAGTTGTCTAAAAGGTAAAGGTTCTCCTTGCACATATGTGCTAGTTGTTTCCGACTCTAGGGGGTGTTGCTCATCTCTGTTTCAAAGCTGAAGAGCTAGTGCTTTCCAAAGACATCTCCATGGTCATGTGGCTGGCATGACTAAACACCAAAGTCACACGGAACACTGTTACCTTCCCACCAAAGGTGGTCCCTATTTTTCTACTTGCATTTTTTACGTGCTTTCAAACTGCTAGGTTGGCAGAAGCTGGGACAAGTACAGGAGCTCACCCCATTACGCGGCAGTAGGGATTCGAACCGCTGAACTGCCAACCTTTCGATCGACAAGCTCAGCGTCTTAGACACTGAGCCACCGTGTTCCCTAAAGTAACAGTTGTCTAGTTTCACTTTAAATTCCTTCTCCATAATAATGGAAGCATTTGGCCCTCATGAACCAGCTGCAAAATCCATCAATTTAATCCTCTCTTCTGCTGCAGGACTTTCATCAGCAAATTGTCCACCATCTGGTCACCATCTTCCTCATCGGCTTATCGTACTGCGTCAATTACATCCGCATTGGTTTGCTTATGATATTTCTAACTGATTGTTCACATTGTCTCCTGGAGGTAAGTCAATGCTCAGAAACATCCTTCTCTTACCCCAAGAAGGAAGAACACATTTGTCTCTTTAAAAAAAAAAAAGTTTCATGTTCTTTGGAAAGAGGAAATAAATCTAGAAAGGAATATATACTGGCCTCCTCTTGCCTGCAGCCTGCCAGACAGAGGTGGTATTCAGCCGGTTCAGACCGGTTCAGACGAAGTGGTAGCGGAAATCACAAGTGGGCCAGTCCACCCGCTCCGGCTCTATGCAGTCCTATTTAGGCATGTTTTTCAGGCTGGGCACATCCTGTCACCATAACATTGTTTCTTGTCTTGCCTTTTGGTGCTTTGGAAAATAGTTTGACCACCTCATCTTTGTAGGAGCCCCTCAAATATTGGAACATGCCAGAATATTGTCATTGTATCCCGAAAGTCAAGTGTTCATACAACAGGAACTTCAGCCACTCAATAATCGCTGCTATTTTTTCTCTCCTTTTTGCCAGGCAGCAAAGATGTTCAACTACCTAAAATGGCAGAAAACTTGTGACACACTTTTTATCGCATTCTCAGCGGTATTTCTGATCATTCACCTGGTGATTTTCCCTTCCAAGTAAGTTTCGGGAATCACACATAAAGGATTTGGCTTTGACCACAGAGTTGTGCCATGTCACTCACACCAATCTTTGGGACACCCATCTTGTCACTGCTATATACAAGTAGAAGTTCCAAGCTTTACGTAGACCATCAAACTGCAAAAGATGGGAGGGAACCTCCAAGCCAGGAAATCTCCACATCTTGTAGGAGTAGAAATGATACTATTTATGATGGCGGTTCTATTTTGGATTCTGGTTTTTGGACTGTTGTGGCCTGCCAGCAGCCAGTGGATCTGGCAGCAGATTCGGACAGTGAGAAGGTTGGGGAGGAACATGGGCCAGTCCTGGAGTCTGAGGAAGGCTCTGATGAGGGCTCTGCGTCGGAGGCAGAGAGGGGGCCAGAGCCGTATGCCAGTTATCAGCTGCCTTTGGAGTCAGAGATCAGTGAGGCAGACAAATAGCTGGAGCCTGTTCTCAGTGTGCACATGCACAGAGCAATGGTAGGATTCAAAATTTTTACTACCGGTTCTGTGGGCATGGCTTGTTGGCATGGCATGGCATGGTTTATTGGGCGTGGCATGGCTTGTTGGGAGTAGCAGGGGAAGGATACTGTAAAATCTCCATTCCCACCCCACTCCAGGGGAAGGATACTGTAAAATCTCCATTCCTTCCCCACTCTGGGGGAAGGATACTGTAAAATCTCCATTCCCGCCCCACTCCAGGGGAAGGATAGTGTAAAATCTCCATTCTCACCCCATTCCAGGGGAAGGATAGTGTAAAATCTCCATTCCCACCCCACTCCAGGGGAAGGTTACTGGAAAATCCCCATTTCCTTCTGATCAGCTGGGACTCGGGAGGCAGAGAATAGATGGGGGCAGGGCCGGTGGTATTTACTGGTTCTCCGAACTACTCAAAATTTCCGCTACCAGTTCTCCAGAACTGGACAGAACCTGCTGAATACCACCTCTAGCACAGAGTTGCCAGATGAAGGGAACAGCTAAAGAACAATGGTCGACTTGGCAGTAAGGCCACAGGTGGATGATGAATGGCTCCTCCCAGAGGGAATAAAAGAGGAGCGAAAGGGGAGTGGAGTTTGCAGGAGACAATTAGTTCATTCCTGCATTCTTGCCAAGTATTGCGGTGTCTGAAAGATATCGGCCTGGCCACTCTCCAAGCCTGATCAAGGTCGGTAATTGTGAACTATCTTGAAAGACTATGGGAGAGGAAAGACTTGGCTGGAGAGGAATTCACTGTAAATTAAATAAAAGGGGTTTTTGTCGGGACTTTGTGGTTTGGGGATGCCTGGGTCAGAAAACTGACTTCTGTCAAAGCCACCCATAGAAATGAAAGGATTTGCTTAATGACCGCAATAAAAATAATTGTAAAATTGCATTTGGCATGTAAGTACCTTGACATACAATTGTTGTGACTTAGGATAGAAATTCTGGCCTCCGTTACAGTTGTAAAACAAGGACTATTTGTATAGTATTTCTTAAATGAGGACATTCTGTGCTTCCATCATCTATATGACCAGCAGAAAACAGTGCGCGGTCCAGCTCTGGATCCAGTGAGGGTCGTCTGTGAGGTTGTATCCCAGTAACCCTTTTCCTCCTTCTTTTTGTACCCCACAAGGATTCTCCACAACACATGGTACTATTTCATGGAGCTCTACCCGCCCTTTTTCGGCTATTACTTCTTCAACACTCTGTTGATAGTCCTGCAGCTTCTTCACGTCTTCTGGTCCTACCTGATCATTTGCATGGTTTATCGTTTCCTGATCCATGGCACAGTAAGAGCAGAAATTGGGCACTCAGAGAGGTGGGAGCTGGAGATCCATGTTGGGGAGAGGGGACAAGACCAGCATTTGCATTCCTTTTATCTTGCTCCACTTTCAATGAAGGACTTTAAGGGGTGGGATGTAGAATATGGCGTATGTAGGGATGAGGAAGGCTTCCAAGGACTAGGGGTGACAGATAACAGTGTTCTAATATTTTTTTTTAAAAAAAGTTTTATTTATTTATTTATTTATTTATTTATTTGTTTGTTTATTTGTTTATTTATAATTTATATACCGCCCTTCTCCCGAAGGACTCAGGGCGGTGAACAACCAAAGGTAAACACACAGAATACAAAAATTAAGAACCGTTTTAAAAACATATTAAACAATTTTGGCCCAACAATTAAAATACCCCTTTTAAAATTCAAATTAAAATTGGAGAGGTTAGGCCAGCCCGGCTTGTTGAAATAAAAAGGTCTTGAGGGCCCCGCGGAAAGTATGTAAATCCGGAATCCTCTGTATCTCTGGGGGGAGCTCGTTCCAGAGGGCTGGTGCTCCCACAGAGAAAGCTCTCCCCCTGGAGGCCGCCAGTCGACATTGTTTGATCGACGGCAGCCTGAGGAGCCCCTCTCTGTGGGAGCATACTGGCCGGTGGGAGGCTTTCAGTGGCAGAAGGCGGTCTCGTAGGTACAACGAGACAAACACACATTCTGTTGTGCCTCCGTTGACTGAGTCTGGGCTATCGACAGATGCAGACTCTGAGAGTGAGGGAGAGGAGTTGGCAAGGCCTCCCTCTCCAGGACCCTCCTCTCTGGCAATGCCTCCGGAGAACACCGAAGGCCAAAAGATAGGCTCAGAGCCAAGCACGTCCCCGCAGCCACAGGTGGACAGCGACGAAGAAGATAAGTGCTGGCTGGACCCTCGGCAGAGGTGCAGGGAGAAGCATGCGCAGCAGAGGGGAAGGCGTGCCAGAGATTAGCTGAGTCACTGGACCACACCCCACAGGGTATAAATGTGGGTGTGGTGGCCGGTTCAGTTTGTGATGAGCAAAAACTGGAAATAATCCATGATCTCTGCGTTACTGGACTTTGCCTGCTTTATCGGACTGCATTTGGATTAATCCTTGTATTGTTGAAACTCTGCCTGTTTTATCGGAATGCTTGCAGTCTAATCTTTGTTTTGTGTCAGTAAAGTCTGAATTGGCAGCTAACCACTGGGTTGCTGCCAGCTTTATCTTCAAAGAGTTTTGTCGTGTGGCTTATTAACTCCGGGCCGTCTGTGGGTGTGTGTGTGTGGTACAGGGACAGAACACATACAAACATACAATGTATTTTCTTTGAACAGAGTATTTGGCTGGTTCACAAATTTAGACAGTGTTTAGTCATTACAATTAAGTTTACAATTTCTATATTTCCTTTTTGCCATATTTATTCCTCATCTATTTTTTTAAGAACCAATATTACCTTTCATTCTCATCTCTAATCTTAATCAAATTCAATGTTTCCCTTCTATTCTATATTATACCCCTTCCCATTGTCATCTATTTTTATATCTATCCTCACATTGGTTAGTTATGTAGTATTACAATTATTTAATTCTTATAGAAATAATAAACCCGCTTATTTTATAACATACATTTCCTTTGATAATACAAATCCAACATTTTAATATAAATCAGTTAGTTATATAACTATCTTTTTTTGTATATTAATCAGTATGAACATGAATATTCCAATTATTTCCATGCAATCCAATCTTACAAATCAATTAATTATATTTACCAATAATAATAAACCAGATAATTTTCCCTATATGTTCCTCCAAACCACAACAGCCATTTCTGCTTTCAACACAATATACAATTGAAAGTATTACAGTTATTACAGTTTCTTTAGTTTATTATTATTATTTAAATTAAATAGAGCTTTCCTCTTATGTTACTCATTTTCACATCTTAAACTCTCTTAATAAACCAAATAGTTTTGCCCATTAAATCCTCCAAATCACAACTTAATCATTTCTACTTTCATCACAATATACAATTAAAAATATTTCAATCATTACAGTTTTCCTAATTAAATTTAAAAATGTTCTAGCTGCTATCCAACCTACAACTTAATCCTTTCTACTTTCACCACCATATACCATTAAAAGTATTTCAATTGTTACAATTTATACTTATTCATATTTCTAAAAAAATAAAAATAAAAAAATATTATTATCTAAATTTCAAAGATACAAATACGAATATTCCAATTATTATTCATTCCATTTTTACAATCATATGATTTCCCATTTGTTTCTTACTACAATTCATATTTCAATTCTAAATATATATAGCATCTTTGTCTTTCATTTCTTTTTCTCCCTTCCCATTTTTATTTTTGCCTTTTTCTTTCTCTTTTTTTTCTTTTGTGCTTTAAAATCTACTCTCCTCTTTTGCCCTAAATTTCCCATTGTTTCCCATCTCTTTTCTTCTTTTCTTATCTCCCCACTATTCATCCCAATGTTTATCCCAATGTAATTCTGTTTCACAGCTCTGGACTCTTCTATTTTGCCCTGCATTTCCTGTTGTTTTCCATTCTTTTCCTCTCTCTTTTTTTCTATTCACTGTTAATCCCAATGTGATCATTTAAGTTTTTTGTGTTCTTTCTATTCCACCCTTCTTTCCTTCTTTGTCTCTTTCTGCCCTTTCTGTTTTTTCCATTGTTAATCCCAATGTAATCTCTAAAAACCTCCTTTTTATTATTACTATCTACATATTCAATTAATTTTCCAAAATTAGTCTCATTGTCTTTATCTTCTTCTTTGTTTTCAGTCTCTGTGTCTTGCTTCTCCGTCTTTGTTTCCTTGTCAGTTTGAGCATGCTCTATCTCAATTTTTGGATCCTCCAGTTTCGATTCTCCATGTAACATTGTAATTATTCCTCTTATTTCCACTTTCCCCGACGAGGACATCATTTCCATCATTTCTCTAATTTCCTGCGCCATTTTATTCTTTCTGTGTTGATATTGTTCCAATTTTAAAAGTTTCGTTGTTTTCCTTTTTTTTTTTCAAAGTCAAGCTGCTTGCAGACAAAGCAATCCTCCGCAAAGGTTCTCATGACTGTTATCACTGATGCAGTTCAGAATTTTCCAAAACAAAGATTCCAAATTGCAATGCTCTTTTTTCTTCTGAAGATGGCTTATAGGATCCACAATTCCTCTTAATTGTTTAACAAAGTGTCAATTTTGTATCAATCCACGTTAACAATCTAATTTCTTTTTTCTTCTTTTTAACTTTGAAGATATCAAGTCAATTTTATAGTCTGGCCCAAATTAAACAATACTTTTCCCCTCTTTTCCCCCCCTTTATTTATCTTTAGGTATACAGCACTTCTGTTGCAGGGTTTAATGTCCAATTTTCTTTTATTTTTCTTAACATTAAAAAGAAAGGGATCTATTTATTTTCTCAATCCTTTAGCCTATTTTGGGGTCACTACTTCTAATTCTTAAAATTTTCCAGATAGTTTTATTCAAAAATCATTTTTTTTTCGGGCTTTTGTCCCTTTAAATTCCGCTTACATCCTCTTTTCTTCCCCCATGCCCATTAGCTGCTGTTTTTGTGCTGGGGGTTTCCAGTTTAAAAAATAGGGTCTTTTTGTTGTTATTTCGCCTGTGGGTTGGTTGTCACCCGGCTTCAAAAACTCTGTTGCAATCACTGCTCCTGCTCAATACTTATTCCGGTTGCCCCAGCTTCTTGACAGCCACAATGGCTGCCATCCCCGCCGCCGAATCGGAGAGAGATTCCTCTGACCTTCGAGGAACTTGCCTGTTCCTCTTGGTCTTCCAAAGTGCCTCTCCTTCTTCCCCATCCCTACAGGATGGTTCCGGTCCAAAGACCCCTTGCCAGCGGTTCATCAGTCTGGATTTTCGTGGAGCTCATCGGAGCCCGCTAATTCCCCGACTGTCTCGCTGCTATGCTTCCGGTCGACAACAGTGTTCCAATATTTGAGGGGCTGCCACAAAGAAGAGGGGGTGAACCACTTCTCCAAAACGAGCCTTGATAGTACAGGGGTTTAGTGCACCCTGTAATTAACACAGCTGCCTGCAATTTCTGCTGGTTCGAATCTCTCCAAGGCTCAAGGTTGACTCAGCCTTCCATCCTTTCTAAGGTAGGTGAAATGAGGACCCAGTTTGTGGAGGCAATAAGCTGACTTTGTATAAAACATACAAAAGAATGAAGGCTATTGCTTAACGCATTGTAAGCCGCCCTGAGTCTCCGGAGAAGGGCGGCATATAAATCAAATTAAAAAAAAAAAACACCTGAAGGCTGGACAAGAAGCAACAGATGGAAACTAATCAAGGAGAGATCCAACCTAGAATTAAGGAGGAATTTCCTGACAGTGAGAACAATTAACCTGTGGAACAACTTGCCTCCAGAATTTGTGGGTGCTCCATCACTGTAGAATAGAATAGAGTAGAATTCTTTATTGGCCATCTGTCTCGGGAAGCTTTCATTCTGGTGGGGGGAGGCTTGGGGGATTCTTTTGCACGGGGTTTTCCTTTGTTCCTTTCACCCTTATACAATGTCAGAGAGCACCAAGAACCCCTCACTTTAACCCTGAGCTACAATTCCTCTATCAAAACTCCATCTAGTCTGCAGGGGCTCAGAATAGAATAGAATAGCCTTCTTTATTGGCCAAGTGTGATTGGACACACAAGGAATTTGTCCTGATGCATACGCTCTCAGTGTACATAAAAGAAAAGATACGTTCATCAAGAATCATAAGGTACAACACTTAATGATAGTCATTAAGTGATGGGTACAAATAAGCAATCAGGAAACAATATCAATATAAATTGTAAGGATACAAGTAACTACATTACAGTCATACAGTCATAAGTGGAAGGAGATGAGTGGATTCAAAGATTCCTGCAGCCACTCGTCTGCAGCCAAGAAGGCTCCACACCCATTTGACCCTGAGGACACACATTAATCTCTAGGTGGCTCAACGACTCTCTAAAAGGATGCAAATGACCAGCTGTCTGCAAGGAATATAAATCTTTCCATTCCCCCACCATCCAGTCAGAGCTGAAGAAGCTTCCTTGGAGGAGAAGCGAAACATCTTCAAAGAAAGAAAAACAAGAAAGTCCAGTTGCCTCTTGAAAAAGCACCTTTGAACTTACAATAGAATGGGAAAAGACTAGAAATTTCTACAATTAAATTTGAGATATAAAGAGATTGTTTCATGAAAAGAGGGTCACAATAAAGGACAAAAATGGTAGAGACCTAAGAGAAGCAGAAGAGATTTAAGGAGAGTCGACAAGAACACAAAGAAGAAGGACACAGGAAACAGAATAACAGAATTGGAAGGGACCTTGGAGGTCTTCTAGTCTAACCCTGTGAAGTTTCCGAAAGATGCCCTAATTAATTCATGAGCCATGAGCCAAACCTCAAAAGAAATACAGTCATTTATTAGGAGCACCATTTTGGCAATATTTGGATGCAATTAGAACTAATCCCACGTAGATTTACGTTCCCCTATGACCCTGTCTCTCCCCTCCTCCCTGGCCATGTCATAAATCACATTCTCCAATTAATCCCTTTGGCTGGCTGTGAAATCCAACACCCTCCTTCTGACTGAGGAAAGAAAGCATGCATGGAATGTAGCTTCAGTTAGGGAAATCAATCAGCTCTATCAGTTCTCCCTCCCTCCTGCTCATGGCAACTTGAAAGCTTTGCAAGTTGACATAACCCCTTGCTCAAGCCAGAATCCCTCTACTTTTATTTTCCGAAAAATGGCTGTCCAATATCTTAGCCCTGCAGGTGGTTAAAGCCGCCCCATGACCCCTTAAAACTTATGAAACCCCTACTTCAAAAAGTCCCGGGTTTGCTTGCAGGGCACCTAAAACTCGGTGTGGCTCTCAGGTTGTATAATAGTTGTGCATCCCCAGTGGAAAAGGCTAGTTCTATGTCCCCCACCCCTCCCCCCACATTTTTTTTAAAATTTGATTTATATGCAGCCCTTCTCCGGAGACTCAGGGCGGCTTACAGTGCGTTAAACAATAGCCTTCATTCTTTTGTATATTTATACAAAGTCAGATTATTGCCGCCACAAACCGGGTCCTCATTTTACCCATCTTAGAAAGGATGGAAGGCTGAGTCAACCTTGAGCCTGGTGAGATTCGAACTTACAGTAATTGCAGACAGCTGGTGTTAATCACAACGCTATCAGTCTTCTGAGCCACCAGGCCAGAAAACATAAATTTTTCTGCCTCTTTCCCCACTGGATTCCAGCCAAGCAGGATTGAAGGGAGGTGACTTCTCTGTTTCTCTCTTACAGGTGGAGAAGGATGTGCGGAGCGACCCTGAGGACAGCGAGGACAAGGATGGGGATGAGCTGGGCCAGAAGTCAGAATGCCAAGCCCCAACCAGCTTGCCAAACCTGGGGGGAAGGGGGGAAGGTAGAAACGGCTGCGGGAACGGAGTGGATAGAATCCTGATTGCTCCTGTAATAAGGCCGACGGCTGCTTGCTCTTCTGTCCGAGTATGAATATTCATGGACTGGAATAGATCAGCCAATGGGGACTGAATGGAGACATGGTAACAAAGTCAGCCAATGAATAGGCATGGTAACAGGCTCAGCCAATGAGGCTTATTTGGAAACAGAAACTTAAGTCTGAAGTCTGGGTGTGGCTTAGGCAATTGAATCTGTGCAGAAGTTTAACTGCCCTGTAGAGAGGAGGCTCTCTTTGTATTAAGCTCTGTGCTCAGCTCTGAAATGAAACAAGCCTGGGCTTGTCTGTCTGCTGAAATGAAACTGGGAAGTGATCTCCCTATTTGTTACCACGTTGAAAGAACTCTGCTATTGGTATTGTAAAATTTGCTTCATCCGCTATTATGTATATAAAGAAGTTCATGAATCCTGCTGAATCGGTTTACCTGTCTGTGCTTTCTGGATTTAATTTCTGCAACAAACTCTGACATCTTCCTTACCAGCTGACCTGTGCTGGTTGTGATGCAGCTGCATGCCTTCATCTAACGACAGCTGATGGCCGCTGATTGCGAAGAGGCCGGAACAGTTGCCTTGCACCGATTGCAAAGCAGCTAGTAACTGGGAGGAAACCAGAAGGAGGACTGAGAGGTGCCGGAAGCTGGCTACGTGGGTGGGCTGGGCCGTGGGCGTGACTATGGCTATTTACCGTGCTGGTAGACGGTAGTTCCCAGCGCTGACTTTGCAATGACTAAGGACTCGTTCGTGCAGGATTTCAGTCTTCATTAAACCTGTATCAAGCAAGCTTGTTTGTTTCTGCATTTACTCGGCCGGGCTACGGACGTGTGAGACATAATAGAAGAATGGCAGCATCAATGCCCAGCCCAACAGCCACTTCTCCTGCGTCACTAAGAGGGGGCTCATGCAGACGAACAGCGGTAATTCCCTCCCAAGTGATTACACAAAAGCTGGGCCGCTGAATCACTGCTCTCCCCTTTCACCCTTCCCTCTGCTACCCCATTACGAAGTCTTCCTATCCTGGAATACGGCAACCAGAAATGGTCACCACATTAAAAAGAGAGGTTCAGGCTTTGGAGTAAGGGGAGAGAAGAGCGACTAAGATATTTCAAGGCCTGGAGACTAAAACCTAGGAAGAACGGTTGCTGCAATTGGATCTGTCTGGTCTAGAGAAAAGAAAGACTAAAGGTGACATGATGGCCTTCCATGAGCTTAGTTATTTGCTTGCAGACATTTCATTACCCCACTGGGTAACATCATCAGTGCTAGAAGGGAGGGCATTTGTGGAGTGGAGGAGAAAGAGAAGGGGGAGGAGGAGTATGGGGTGGAAAAGGGAAGGAGGAGGAGAAAGGAAGGAGGAAGGGAGGAGGAGGAAGAGGAGGGGAGAAGGAGAAGGACAAGGGAAGGAAGAGGAGGAGAAGGGAAGAAGAAGGAAGAGGAGAAGGGAAGGAGGAGGAGAAGGAGGAGGAGGAGGAGAAGGGAAGGTAGAGGAGGAGAAGGGAAGAAGTAGGAAGAGGAGAAGGAAAGAAGGAAGGGGAGGAGGGGAGGAGGAAGGAGGGGAGAAGGGAAGGAGGAGGAGGAGAAAGAAAGGAGGAGGGGAGGAGGAGGGGAGAAGGAGGAGGACAAGGGAAGGAAGAGGAGGATAAGGGAAGAAGTAGGAAGAGGAGGAGGAGAAGGGAAGAAGGAGGAAGAGGAGAAGGAAAGAAGGAAGGGGAGGAGGGGAGGAGGAAGGAGGGGAGAAGGGAAGGAGGAGGAGGAGAAAGAAAGGAGAAGGGAAGAAGGAGGAAGAGGAGAAGGAAAGAAGGAAAAAGGAGAAGGGAAGAAGTAGGAAGAGGAGAAGGAGAAGGAAAGAAGGAAGAAGAGTAGGGAAGGAGTAGAAGGCGAAGGAAAGGAGGAGGGGAGGAGTAGGAAGAGGAGGAGGAGAAGGGAAGAAGGAGGAAGAGGAGAAGGGAAGGAGGAGGAGGAGAAGGGAAGAGGGAGGAAGAGGAGGAGGGGAGGAGGAGGAAGAGGAGGAGGAGAAGGGAAGGAGGAGGAGGAGAAGGGAAGAAGGAAGAGGAGGAGGGGAGGAGGAGGAAGAGGAGGAGGAGAAGGGGAGGAGGAGGAGAAGGGAAGAAGGAGGAAGAGGAGAAGGAGAAGGAAAGAAGGAAGAGGAGTAGGGAAGGAGTAGAAGGCGAAGGAAAGGAGGAGGGGAGGAGGAGGGGAGGAGGAGGAAGAGGAGGAGGAGAAGGGAAGAAGGAGGAAGAGGAGAAGGAAAGGAGGAGGAGGAGAAGGGAAGAGGGAGGAAGAGGAGGAGGGGAAGAGGGAGGAAGAGGAGGACTGTAGGGTCTTCAGTGCTCTCTGAGCTTAGTTATTTGCTTGCAGACATTTCATTACCCAACAGGGTAACATCATCAGTGCAAGTGAGGGTGACAACTACTGTATCTAAACAGGGAGTAACCCATCCACCCCCTCAGTTCAAGATTCTAGCTGCTACTTATAAAGAGCTAAATGGCTCTTGGGAATGGATAACCAACGGATGCCTTCCTGAAATTTTCTCCATACCATACCTGGCCTTCAGTGCCTGCTGGTGGTAGGATTGTCTTTCATAGCCTCCCTTTTCTGAAACTGCTGGTCCCCAGAAGCAGGGATGTCCTGGAAGTGGTGAAAATTTGGTTCTTCCCAACTGGGGATAAACCCAAAACAACGGATGGAAATTAATCCAAGAGAGAAGCAACCTAGAAGGAAGCAGAACCATTAGCCAGTGGGACGGCTTGCCTTCAGGAGTTGTGGCTGCTCCATCAGTGGAGGCTTTTAAGAAGAGATTGGACAGTCGTTTTTCTGGCACGGTCCAGGGTTTCCTGCTTGAGCAGGGGGTTGGACTAGAAGACCTCCAAGGTCCCTTCCAACCCTGTGATTCTGTTATCCTTTGCTGTTCTGAACCAGTTTATTTCTGCACGTTGTGTATAGTACGTTGTGTGGCTTTCTTACGGGTAAACTGATTTGGCAAGCAGAGAATGAGGCGTTCTGGGACTTGCAGTTCTCTCTCTCTCTCTCTCTCTTTCATTCTCTCTGTCTCATTCTTTCATTCTCTCTCTTTCTCATTCTTTCATTCTCTCTGTCTCATTCTTTCATTCTCTCTCTGTCTCATTCTTTCATTCTCTCTCTTTCTCATTCTTTCATTCTCTCTGTCTCATTCTCTCTCTTTCTCATTCTCCCCCTCTCCCTCTCTCCTCTCTGTTTACAATCGTCAGAGCTACTCCAGGAAATTCCGCTTCGGAGCTTTGGCCGCCAGAGCAAAGAGTTTCTTCCAAGAACTTGCTGGGCCGTTTCCCAACTTCTCCCCCGAAAATATGTCAATGGGGTTCAGTTGGGCGGCAAAATTAGATTTAGGTTTAGGTTTATTAAATTTGTATACCGCCCTTCTCCCGAAGGACTCAGGGCGGTGAACAGCCAAAATTAAAATACATGCAGTATAAAAATTAAAATAAATTAAAACAGAATTAAATCAAATTGGCTTCCCAAAATTTAAAACCCTTTGCCCATAAAATAACCCATTAAAATTTTAAGCCAGCCCGGCTTGGTGAAATAGGAAGGTCTTCAACGCTCGACGGAAAGTACGGAGGTCCGGGATCAGTCGTATTCCCCGGGGGTAGCTTGTTCCAGAGGGCGGGTGCCCCCACAGAGAAGGCTCTCCCCCTGGGGGTCGTCAGTCGACATTGCCTGACCAACGGCACCCTGAGGAGACCCTCTCTGTGGGAGCGGATTGGCCGGTGGGAGATTATCGATTATCGGTGGCAGAAGGTGGTCTCGTAAATACCCGGGCCCTAAACCATGGAGCGCTTTAAAGATGAGAACCAATACCTTGAAGCGCACCCTGAAGACCACCGGGAGCCAGTGCAGCTCACGCAGGAGAGGTGTTACATGGGGGCACCATGTCGCCCCCATAATCACCCACGTGGCTGCATTCTGGACCAGCTGGAGCCTCCGGGTGCTCCTCAAGGGGAGCTCCATGTAGAGAGCATTGCAGTAGTCCAGGCGAGAGGTGACGAGGGCGTGAGTGACCGTGCATAAGGAGTCCCGATCCAGAAAGGGACGCAACTGGCGTATCAGGCGAACCTGATAGAAAGCCCCCTTGGTTAAATGTTGAACATGGGGATGTGGTTCCAAAAGTGCTTTTTTCCCAGAGGCAACTGGACTTTCTGGTTTTCCTTTGAAGACGTTTCGGTTCTTATCCAAGAATGAGAAGTGAAACGTCTTCAGAGAAAAGCCAGAAAGTCCAGCGGCCTCTGGAAAAAGGACCTTTGGGACAACCAGGACCCTGACGACTGAGGATCTCCATAGACATTGGGGATGGGGTCTTCCTGGATATGTAGGTGAGAAAGAAGCTCTGTCCCTTTTGTGTCCTGATGCTGCTTGCATCGCAGGGAGGCTATGCTTTTCTCGTGATTTTGAACAAAATTTTGGCCAAACTTATGAGGTCCATGTAACTCCCAGAGATGTTCTCTCAGTCAACCAGAGGTTCTCCGGATCCAACTCTGGAGTTGCAACTCCTAATACTCTACTGACCAGGTAGCCCTGCACACCTGGAGGAGAGCTCAGGTAAGAAAGGGCGTCTTGAAAGAGTCAAGAGATGATGGCAACCTGCCACCTTCGCTTTCTGTGGGGTCTCCAGCGACTGGGGAAGGGAAAGAGGAGAAGTTGAACATCAGGAGAAATTTAGCTAAAGCTGCTTTTACAGGACACGCTTTGCCAGATGGGCTCCAGGCAACGTAGGAATTTTCTGAAAATTTCAACCCTCCGTCTCCACCACACGGTGTGTCCAGTTAAGGGTGCTGCTGAGGAAGGGATGGTTGGGATGGTTTTTCTGGGATACAGTAGACAAATGAACCCATTATTTTTATCGGGAGTTGCATCTGTTCGCCATCCTAAAGTCGGTTAGTCAAAAGTTGTGGGGGCTTCATCACTGGAGGCTTTCAAGAAGAGATTGGACTGCCATTTGTCAGAAATGGTGTAGGGTCTCCTGCTTGGGCGGGTGGGTGATGGAGGTGGGCTGGACTAAATGACCTCCAGGGTCCCCTTCCAACTCTGTTAATGTGTGTGTGTGTGTGAACCTTGGTTAGTTCGGTGGCTTCCTGCTAAGTGCCTTATGCAAAACTTGTGAACTCAGTGGTTTCGAGGGTGAGAACACAGATTAGTTGGCAGTTCTACAGGTACATCCACCCTGTTGTTGTTGTTGTTGTGAAGGTGTCCGTTAAGGAGTTGGCTGTCTCACGGCCAAATTTCCACAAGCTGCACGCACAATTGCTACACATCTGGGCTGCCGAAATCCAGACCGAAGCAGGACAAATGACCCAACCCCTTGAATGCCATCCAAGAGTTGGTCCACCTGAACAGGTTGTAGAGGTTTCTTTCCTCCGCTTACAAAACCTTCCTCTGATCCAGCCTCCCTCAAAATAGGTTGCATAAACACGAAAGTCAAGGAAGGCTTGGGGCAACCTTCCTTATTTTGGAGGTTGTTATCTATTCACTGTGGCTTCCTCATAAATAAACGGATTTTGCAAGCAGAGAATGTGAAGTTCTAGAATTTGTATTTTTCTGCTCTGGGCTTCTCTCCCTCTCCCTCTCCCATACACACACTTTCTCTTCCTCTCATTCTCTCTCACACACTCTCTTCATTCTCTCTTACACACACACACACACACACACACACACACACTATTTTGCTCATTTCTCCCATTCTCTCTCTCTCACTCATTCTATCTCATTCTCTCTCTTTCTCTTTCTCAATCTCTCTCCCTCTCCCTCTC